GATATTTTCTGTTCCTGTCCCCAGTCCAACCATAAAATCTATTTTATCTCCTCTTCCCAGGGAGATCCATGCATTCCCCTGCCTCCACAAACATCCTGGTGCTTATCCTCTCTGGGTCTGTGGATTATATTGTTGGTATTGTTTACTTGATAGCTAATGTCTAATTATAAGTGAATAACATATCACATTTATCTATGTGGTTCTGGGTTGCCTCACTCAGAATAATAAACAACTTAAGAAACTAGACATCAACAAATAAAATGGTTCAATTAAAAAATATGGTACATATCTAAACAGAATTCTTAATAGAGGAATCTAAAATGGCTGAAAAACACTTAAGGAAATGTTAAACATCCTTGGCAATCAATGAAATGTAAATCAAAATTACTTTGGTTTTTTTTTTAATTTATTTATTATGTATACAGTGTTTTGTCTGCATGTATTCCTGCACACCAGAAGACGGCACCAGATCTCATTACAGATGGTTGTGAGCCACCATGTGGTTGCTGGGAATTGAACTCAGGACCTTTGGAAGAGCAGCAAGTGTTCTTAACCGCTGAGCCATCTCTCCAGCCCTACTTTGGTATTTCATCTTACACCTGTCAGAATGTCTAAGATGAATGACACAAGTGACAGCTCATGCTGGCTAGGATGTGGAACAAGGGGAACACTCCTCCGTTGCTGGTGGGAGTGAAAACTTATTCAGCCATTATGGAAATTAATATACCAGTTCCTCAGATGATTGAGAATCTATCTACCTCAAAACCCAGCTATTACCACTCTTGGGCATATATCCCCCAAATGTTTCTCCATCCTGCCACAAATACACTTGCTTAACTATGTTCAAAGCTGGTTTATTCATAATTGTCAGGAACAGCTATGTCTGTAAGAGATTGTGTTGATGATTGATGTGGGAAGGCTCTTCCAATGAGTTGGCAATATCTCTAAGCAAGTGGACCTTGGATGGATAGGAGAGCTGGCTGAGCACAAGACAGTGACAAAGCAAGTGAGAAGCCCAGGAAACAGTGTTTGCCCATGGTTTTAATCTTCATTTTCTATACCACAATGATGGATTGTGACCTGGCAGAATCAGCTAAATAAACTTACCTGAGATGATTTTGATTAGAGGATTTAATCACAGCAGCAGAGAAGCAAGTTAGAACTAAAAAATGGAACATCCAAAGTGATTGTGTTGCTGGGAAGTATCTGGGAATGTTGTCCTTTAGAGGAATGTAGAAGAAATCAGGACTTAAATGACAAAAGTCATAGAAAACTATACACAGAGCTCAATAGGCTGTTCTTGTAGGATGAGGAAGATGAGACTCTTGAGAGTAATACACACAGAGGAGGGCAAGGTCATAGATTTTAGTGAGAAGTAGACTCTAGGAAACATTAAGCTAGAGGTCATTTGTGTCTTATTTGGCCTAGAATCTTCCTTATTCTGCCCTTGCCCTGAGAAATTGAGTAAGGCCAAATTAAAAAGTAATGGGCTGACTTCTTAGATGGAATATTGAATCTGTTGCTTGCTATTATTGATGACTCATTCAGGTCTACAGTGAAAAAAGTAATATTTTTTTTCAGAAACCAGTGACAATGAAAAGGTAGTTTCAGATGGAAGTAATATGCTGAATCAGATAGGAATTTTCAAGGAGATCACCATTAAAGAGAAGAAAGCCTATCTAGGTACCCTAAGGGCATCATGTTAAGCCTTCAGTTAATGAGAGGATTAGGCAAAGTGATTCCTATTCCCAGGAAGCAGCTTCATACAAAACCTGCTGCAAGTGTTGTCCAAACTCTGCAAGGTCCCTCTCAATTAAGAAGCCAAACCTTGTTCTGGTTATGGAAATAAGAAAGAAGCAAAATTTCTGGTCATGGATTCCTGATCTGTGGTTTCAGTTTAGCACTTTTGCAGTCATCTATGTTTGGCAGATTCAGAGCCCCAGTGAGGATCCTGTGAAAGTTCATGGCTTGAAGCTTTGAGCATGAAGCCCAGGTTGCATTTTGAGACCACAAAATGTTGAGATACCAAAGCTGTGAGACATCTGCCATGGAGAGCTGCATATAGGGAATGGAAGTAGCCAAAGAGATATATGAGAAATTTCAGGAAAATGAGACACCTAAGCTCTGAAACTGAAGCCCCATATGTCTGAGACAGAGGTGCTGGATTTGGTGTTTACCCTGCTGGGTTCCAGTCTTACCTTGGTCCAGTCTTCACTCACCGTGTTCCACTTCCTCTTTGGGAATGGTAATGGGTATTCTGTGCCAGTGTATGTTGGAAAGATGTAACTTCTTTTCTGATTTTACAAGATGTCAGAGTCAAGGAATCACCTGAGTGTCCAAAGAGACCTTGAACATTTGATATTTTAGGTGCTGTTGAAGACTGAGGATCATTGAAGATAGACTAAATGCGTTTTGATCATGGGGTGACCTTAAGCCTATGTTCAGGATGTTTTCAATTGAATGACAACTCTTCCAGATAGGATAGTGTATTTGAATACTTCTCTCTCCTTGGTGGCTTTCTTTGGGGTGCTTGGGGAACCTTTAGTAGGAAGAGTCTTTCTGGATGAAATTCCTCACTGGAGAAGGAATTTGAGTGTCTTTAGCCTCAATCCATTTCCTATGCAGCTGTACTCCCAACCACAGCAACAACCCCTACAATGAGCAAGTCACCAGACACACACCACAGCATAATCACACAGACACCTTTCCAGTCAGTACAGACAATTTCTAATGTTATCATGCCTCTAGGTACAACTCTATTATCACCAAAGTCCACCAACACTGGAATAGGATCATCAGTGTTTCTAGGCCTCAGAAAAACAGATAGGACCATTCAACAGCATTAAGCACACCACAGGATACCATCCCATCATTTGGAACTGGGACACTCACTCTTCCTGAGAAGTCAACTTTAACTCCACTCTCACTAAAACTAGACAAAGTCACTGACACAAACAAACCTTTACCCATGACTAGTTTGGCAGTTAAAAACACCTCTTCACCAACCACAGCCACCCTGAGGAAAACTGTTCACAGCAAAGTCCTATCTGAGACTCAGGAAAATGATACTCCAACTGTTTCCCCAACCCCAGCAACAATGTCCACAATGAGCAAGCCACCAGACCCATACCACAGCACAGTCACACAGACATCTTCCCAGCCAGCACAGATGGGCTCAAGCACAGGCACTGGTACAGCCCAGTCAGCTGTGAATTCCACAGCCCTTGTCTTTAGCTCATTTTCTTTGTGTCTGGCTGTCATGTCTTATACCACTGCTATACCTGATATCACTATATCCCGTAAGATATAGTTGAAGCAATTGATATTCAGTGCTAAGACATTTTGTAACCTGAGTTTTTGTCCATTTTGTTGTTTTTATTTTTGTTTTTGAAGAGGTTTCTCTGTGCAGCCCTGGCTGTCCTGAAAGTACCTCTGTATACCAGGCTGACCTGAACTCAGAGATCCAAATTATTCTGGCTCTTATGCCCTGTGATTAAATGTTGGCCATCATGCCTGGGCTTTTTTGTTTTTATCTTATTGGGTGATGGGATTGTTGTATAGGTATTTCTACATGTCAAGCATGTGCTGTTTTGCTGAGCTTCACCCATATCTTGAATTTTGAATTATGGCAGAATGTATCATTCTCTTTCCCAGGATGGCATACTCATGACATTAAAACTGCGTGAGTCTTCTGAGTCTTTCAATTGCAGCTGTGTGACATTCTTCCTACCTATTATGTTGGTTTTCGATTCTTTTGAGGAATGTGCATCTTTTGCTTGTATGCATGGATATGTACCACATGTGTGCCTGGTCCTCACAGCAATCAGAAAATAGTTTCATAACCCCTGAACTTGTAGTAATGGATAGTTGTAGGCCCCCATATATGATGAGCCCAACTCTCTGTAAGTCCAGCAAGAGCTCTTAAATATTGAGCCATTTCTATTGTCCTATGTTATTTTTATGATCAATATTTACATTGCTAATGTTTTCATCTCTTCACTTGTAGCTTTAAACATGCATTCCCTTTTAGTAAGATGTTATTATTGTTATAATTTAAACTGGTTTCTGGAAGATCAAAACAGAACTGGAGTGTATGCATAATTCTTTGTAGAAACTTCCATAGAAACCTGTGAGTTCTTTCTATCTTTCTTGTACAGTTTATTTTTATGGGGGAGAAAGGGTCTTACTAATATGTAACTGGCTAACCTGAAATTCATTGCATAGGCAGGCTGGCAGAAAACTCAATTAAATTCTCCTGCCTTTGCCTTGTGAGTGCTGGGATTAAAGACTTGAGCCAGTACACCCCACTTGCCCATTTTTTTTGTAGTTAGTAATTGTTCATTCAATTTCTCTAATTTGTACTTTGATCTGTTTGCTTGCCTCTGTTATATTTATCTTTAAAAAAAAAAATGATTGTTGGTTTTGAGCCTAGCTGAGCATTGGTGGTGCATGCCTTTAATCCCAGCACTCAGGAGCCAGAGCCAGGAGGATCTTTGTGAGTTTGAGGCTAGCCTGGTCTACAGAGTGAGATTCAGGAAAGGCACAAAGCTACACAGAGAAACCCTCTCTTGAAAAAAAAAGATTCATTTATTTATTATATATACAGTGTGCTGTCTGCATGTCTGCCTGCAGGCCAGAAGAGGGCACCAGATATGATTACAGATGGTTGTGAGCCATGTGGTTGCTGGGAATTGAACTCAGGACCTCTGGAAGAACAGTCAGTGCTCTTAACCACTGAGCCATCTCTCCAGCCCCTCTTTATATCTCTTAATAGGCATTTCTCCTGCAAGGCTATATCCTAGACCAAATGTTTAGAAATGACAGATGTGAACCTCATTGTTCAGTTTTTGTTTTCTAAAATGAGTTGATGATTAGAACTTTTGTGTCATAGAATAACTGTGGGGAGCCCCAGAATTATATGAATATACTGCCAAAGTAGTATACATCACCATGCTGTCAGTATCACACTTTCTGTTGTACAAATGTATGGAATATTTTAGACTGCAGTGACCTATGATGATGTGCATATCGACTTCACTTGGGAGGAGTGGACTTTGATGGATCCTTCCCAGAAGAATCTCTACAAAGATGTAATGTGGGAGACCTACAGAAACCTTACTGCTGTAGGTAAGACTGAATTTTTTTTATCACGTTTTAAAATAAGGGGACACCTCTTCCTTACTTATTGATACACTTTTGTAATTTAAATTGATAAAGAAGAAGAATGAGGTGAATAAATCTGGCATTGTCCTAAGGTTCATTGTAGATAATAATTTAACTTTTGCACAGTTTCCCATGATATATGATATATTTTCTGGTACTGTATTTTAGGCTACAGTTGGGAAGACCATGATATTGAAGAACATTGTCAAAGTTCTGGAAGAATTAGAAGGTACTTCTCATGTGCTGACTGATACAAATGTGCCTATGGAGAAATTTTAATGTGTCCCAGAAGTTTTAAATAAAAGCAACAATGTAAATAAGCACACTTTAAAGTGTACTGATGATTGTTAAATTCTCACAAAACCAAATACCTCAATGCCAGGTAGCTGATATGTTTTTTCATGCATTCCTCTAAGAAAGAACACAGTGAAACAATGCCTTCACTGACATTCCCATTTTAAATACAGCTCCATGATAGCTCTGCTGTTGAACAGCCAATCTGTTTAATTTCATGCCACTCAGATACTGTAAAAGGAATATGTGTTGAATAGGTGATAAGTATATATCCAAGTATATATCTATGAGGAAAAGAAAGTCGAGTTGTGTGAATGCAGTGTGGAAACATTTTATTTATTTGTTTTCCTTTATCAGTATATCATATACTACTCTGGATACAAGCCATGTGAACATATGAAGGATGCAACATATCTCTCTCTCACACACACAGAATAATTACAAGATAAGTAATAGTCCCCAATTTGAGTAGAAATTTTGAGTGTGATACAAGTTTAAACATAATTGATTTTCCAACTTCATTGTGAATACATCAAGACACCCAGACTGAAGAAAAGCTCTATGAGTATTGGAATGTATAAATATGTCTATTATCCTGGTTCACTTTGCAAGTGGAGTATGACCCTCACTATTGGAAAACTTATGAGTGCAATAAGTGTGTTAATGCTTTGAGTTCTTCCAGTTCTCTTCAAATATGTGAAGAATCTCATACAGACAAAAGATTCTATAAATGTGGATCCTATAATAAAGGCTCTTACCATTACAGATACCTTCAAAGACACAAAACAGCCCTAAATGAAGGGAAACACTATGAATGTAAACTTTAAGATCTTATTTGTCTTAAAAATTATACAAAATTGTAAAATTAATTCATACAGTTATAAATATTCATCACTGTTTTGAATGTGATAAAGCTTTTACATGTGCCAATTATCTTTACAGGTCCAAAGAACATCATATTGGGAAGAAACCCTCTGAATATACTCAATGTGCAAAAGCACTTTTATATTATGGTCATCTTCAGAATAATGAAAGTATTCATACTGGAGAGAAACTCTATAGTTGTATTCAATATGATGAAGCTTTTTCTCACAACATTAGTCTCCAAATACATGAAGAAACACATACTGGAAAGAAAATCAGTGAGAGTAATCAGTGTGGTAAAGCCTTCACAAGTCATGGTCACTTTCAAAAACATAAAGGAACACATACTGGTGAGAAACCTTATGAATGTAATCAATGTGGTAAAACCTTTGCATGTACCATTAGACTCCGAAGACATGAAAGAAGACATACTGGAGAGAAACCTTATGAATGTAATCAATGTGGTAAAGCCTTTGCATGTACCAGTAGTCTCCAAAGACATGAAAGAACACATACTGGAGAGAAACCCTACAAATGTAATCAATGTGATAAAGCCTTTTCACAAAACAATACTCTCCAAATACATAAAAGAACACATTCTGGAGAGAAACCCTACAAATGCAATCAATGTGATAAAGCCTTTTCACAATACAGTAATTTTCACATGCATAAAAGAACACATTCTGGAGAGAAACCTTACAAATGTAATCAATGTATTAAAGCCTTTGCATGTGGCACTAGTCTCCAAATACATGAAAGAACACATTTTGTAGAGAAACCCTACAAATGTAATCAATGTGATAAAGCCTTTTTACAACACAATCGTCTCCAAATACATAAAAGAACACATACTGGAGAGAAACCCT